ACAAACAAATATGCTACCAACGGCCGACCAACGGCCGACCAACAAAACCAACAAATGAAGCGAACAAAAAGTCAAGTGCTCTTTTGCTTTTTCGTATCGCTGTTTTTAATTTCTTTCTTTTCATTTTTTAAGATGCAATTGCCACAACTCCCGAAGCGTCAGCGGCGGCAACAGAAAGCTGCTGTTATCACATTTTGTCTAGCAAGCCATAATTCCAATGGTTACTTGTAAATCCACAGACATACATACATATGCGTCTATGTTTTTTTTTTTGTTTTTTCTGAGGTTAAGGTGAACTTTTTAATAGTTTTTTTTTTAATGTCAGTAATACTAAAGTATGAAGCACTATTTTATCCAAAGGAGATTAACAGTGCTTTGGAATTGTTAATTAAACAAAATGTATTTATATTGCATAAAAGTAACAAATTTGATTTCTACTCTGTTTAAGTGACATTTGGGAACTTCATCATGAACTACGTTGGCCGATCGGCGTTCTTAAATGGTTTGGATGATTTGGTGTAAAATAGTGCGATAGATATTTGTTTAAAGGCTTCAGTATCAGCCAAAATTCTCGAAAGGCACATTTCCAATTTAGCCATTAATGCAGAAATCAATTTTTGCATATATAGCAATTTTATAAAGCGATTTAGAAAAACTTCAACATTTCATGAATTTCACTCAAAAAGTAAGGCTCTAAGAATTGACAAATGTAATTTAAAGAATTTCTTGAAAATTTATGAAGTTTAATATCCAAGATCTAGCACCGAAACGAGTTTAATTGATACATACCAACACATAAACACAAGCGCACCTGTGAGTTGAATGCGTGAGTCAGCTGGGACAAGCACGCGTGCACATGCGCTCGCTGACGACAGTTACACCCCTCACACACACACACATCTAATAACCTTGCCTTGCGAGTTTTTCGCAATGTAGAAAAAGCACTGTTGTTGATGCAATTGTATTTACTCACAGACACACACATATATATGAGGTTAGCGCCTCATGTGTGTGAGAATACATACATACTTGACGGAATTTGGAATAGTTCTGTGTAGGCTGTGCATAAATTAAATAACCGAAAGTGAAAAACGCCATTAAGTGTTACCTAAGTATGTATACAAGTACAAACACACATGCATAGATGTGTTTATAAACGTACATATGGGTATGTATGTATGTATGACGTTGTCACAAAATTTTAGCTTAAAAGTGGAGAACTCACACACACATTCATTTGTGCTTACATACGTATGTAGACGTTTATATACATATACATACATATATATACGTGTGGGTACGTACATATTTTATGCAGGTAATTTCTACTTCTAGTAGCTCTGCGACAGTCAAGCCGTAGTTAAATATTCAAATTTCAGGTGAAACCGTATAAATTATGCTAAAATTGTGTGCGCACATCCAATGCGTGTATGTACGTATGTACATATGTAATGTGTGAAAATTATTTGTAACGCTGCATATGATTAGAAAACATATTAGAAGAATTAAGGCAATCAAATTTTCCCTGCGTTTTTTCTTTTTAAAGATATACATACATATGTACGAGTATATGTATTGTGGCTGTGTCGTGGCAATTAAAATATTAATTAGTTATACTTTACAATATTTTTTTAATATTGACAGTGTTTAGCAAACTGTTTGTTTATCACAGTTTATAGATTTTGTAGATCTTCCAGCTATTTATGCACACTTACGAATGCTGTGTACACGAATATATGTAATAGCATTAATTTGTCTTTGTCAGACGTGCATCGGAAAAACTTTTCCATTCACACAAACTTAACTCTTTCACAATCGTTTTCGATTTTCCGCATTTTTTCTCAAATCAAATTTAAAACTGACTAAATTAAAGAAAAGTTCCTTTCATTTGTGCTGCAACATTCATGTTCGCATCCATTTACTTTTTGTTCGGAATAGTTTGCCAAACAGGCGAGTAATGGCCATTACGAGCGAACCATGACAATGTGAAGGTTCGGCTGGCTGCTCTGCCAATTGGATCTTGCACCGCCGCTGCGGCTCCTGCATGGACGTCGTCAACGTCCCATACCAACACTATTATACAATGGTGCAACATGAACAGCAAAAACAACAGCAAAGCACTCAAGGTCGTCAGACAAGTTCGCTGTGCACGCAGAGAAATGAACGGACGGAAGCCATGAATGAAGGAATGAATGAATGAGCGAATAAAAAGGCATAAAGCAATAGCCGCACAATCTCACCACTACCTTCAGCTATATATGTATATGTACATACTATAAGTACTGTCCTGTACTAACGCCGCGCTAATATCAAAGTCGGGTTTTCATTTGGCCGCTTTGGGCGCGCTAACAACTCTTAGTAGTCGTCACTGGAACACTGCAATTCTGCACATGCTGTGTAATAAGAGAGCATAATGTATTTTCATATCTACATAGGCACCTCCAAAAATGTTGAGGATAAAAGAAATTTATAAAATTAAGTAACAAAATGTGAACATATCATAAGGATTATATTCAGCTATGTCGAATCTTTCTGGTTATGTGAGCAAAATTTCATTTTTGAAATGTATAGGTGTGTATTTGGAGAGAGCGCATCGCATGTAGAGCGTCAAAATGCATCCACAACTCAGCTGGACACTGCTCCAAGACGATTATCTAAAAGTTAGCTGCGTTAAGGCCTACATATTTACTAGCTCTTTCAACTTCGTAACAATACTGTCATTCATTTTCTTTAGATTTCTAATAAGATCTTGCCTTCTTTTCTCTATTTCTATTTTCCTGTCTACTGCACACACATAAATAAACGAAAATTAAATGGTTTGCAAATCGGAGGCGCGCATGAAGTTTTTTCAGTTGTTTCGGTTATGTTATATGTATTCGGTTTCTTCACCTTTTTCCTTTTGACGTTTCCCTGCGAACTTCTTCATATTATGCCTGCGAATTTGTTAATTCTTCTGCAGAATTCTTTTCGCACTTCTGTCAAATTTTTCAATTCGCACTTCGTTTACAGTTTTCTTTCTTTTTCCAGTAATTATTAGTACACTTGTTTTATTGCTGAATATTAAGTAAACACTCGAGTGTGCTTACGCAAACATTTCTACATATGTACATATATATATACTCGTGTGCTATTGGTTATTGCTACTACTTCCTCAATTTCGTGAAATTTTCACCTTAATTCATTATGATGTCATTGTTTACTGCTTTCACGCTTTCGAGTTCTAAATTTTTTTTATCCAGGACTGACCCTGAAGGCCTTGTTTGCAGCTGCAGCTACTTCCTTAACCTCTCCTTATAGAACATTTGTGTTTATATAAAATTACTGAATGTCTCCTAATGAGCAATTCAACTGGAAATGAGAGAATAAACAGCTTACAATAGTCAAGCAGAAAGCAAAGCGGAAAGCATATAGAAACGAAGCTGGCCAAAGCAAAGCAATCCAAACAAAAGTTACCCAGAGAATTGAGGGAATTAAAAAGTAATTACATATCCGAAAGCATGACAAGCGATGACGGTAATTGTTCAGCCTTTCTTAGCCGCTTGCAATTTGAAAGTGAAGGGAGAATAAAAAAAAAACAATATTTTGCCGCTCACAAACTAAAATATACTAACAGTCGTAATTTTAAATTTATAGTTATTTGCTATTATTTTTTCCAGACTCTTTTAGCCCTTTAGTGGCTAGCTTACGCATATGGACCTCTCGGCAGCGACTGCATATGTTGCGCAAAGGCTATACGGTCTCTCTGGGCATCGCAATGCCGCCTACTTTTTGGACAGAAGGCAAAAGAGAGTTCAAATCAAAATAAAAAAATTTGCGTATTTAAAGGCTGGCGAGGTGGAAGAGTGGATAAGAGGACTATAAACCAAGTATCGGTGCTCACGCCTTTGCGGTGTAATTTCATTTATTTTTTTTTACTCCTGGCGCACGGATCAAACACCATTAAGCCAAGTCTTCCTCTGGAACGTCCTCCAGCTCGTGCAGTAACCAATTCTGTCATTACCGCATGAAGTCGGAGAGGCCAAACGCAGACTCCTGCTGTGACTGTGATAAAAAAGCATGGTCGGCGGAGAGCGTAGGCCGTGGGCAACAGTGATGCGTTCAAACAAAGATAACCGCATGGAAATTTTATATAAACGGGTTAAAGAGTTGACGAGGACACCGCCCTACCAGAGGCAGCCGCAGCAACAGCCGGACTGCGGCCCGCAAAAGGGAGAAGCTCAGGCGGGTGTATTTGGTAAATGATGAAGGCCCGCTGGTGCGACCAGTCCGACAAATGTCAGGCTTGACTGACTGGAATAAGGGTATTATATGTAATTGCATGCTAACAACTTTAGTTGTATTGGTGTTACGGTTACACTGTTAAGGAAATTAAAGGATTTCAGGCAGTGACAACAAGCAAGAAAAAATATAATAAAGATAACGATAAAATAAACACTTCTCTTAAAGCACAAGTTGATTGAGTGAATTGGATTGGAGTTGGATTGGATAAAAGAGATATCGAAGTACAAAATCAAATTGGAGTTTAAATCCGCAATTTTTTTTGACGCGATATCGCTATGAAGTTGCTGTGCCTCTTCAGTTCTAAAGATTCTAGCCATACAGACTAATAACTAATTGGGACACCCTCGTAAGGGCTGCTGTAATTGCTTTAAAGTCTATTTCATACTCCAACACATGACTTTTCAATAAAGAACATATTTTTATTGGACTTTCTATTTATCTCTTAGTTCACATTTCTTTACAGTATTGAAATTAAAATTTAAAATGTTATTGGTAGCGATAAGGAAGATAAGAGAACTTTAACCTGAGGACTATAAATTTCAATATGTATGTGTAGAAGAGCGTATTGATTGCATTTTTATGTATCGTATAACAGTTGTTCAATAATCGTTTATTGGTCGTAAATGTCATATGTCTTACTGAAGCTCAATTTAACTGTCATGACTAACGTACAATAAACAAATATACATATAATCAGTGATAATTACACGTCAATTTACCTTATAAACATCACCGTATGTGCCAGAACCGATCTTCTGTATGAGCTCGTATTCGTCCTGTGGATTACGTCGTGATATATCTGAACTGAGCAGATTAGCAGCATTATGGTGGGCGTGTGCCATATTGTTGCTTTTGAGTATAATGACGTAGATGTCTTAAAAGCTCCAACGCTGAGGAGCAGTCTGACCACTCAGTACAATTTATTTATATTAATTTGGTATTTCGTAAGATTTTTTTTTGTAAAATCATAAAGTTAAACTAGACGTATTATTAAATATTTTTAATTTCTTTTATTGTACTTTATGATGTTTCTTATTTAAATAACGATATTCCACTAAGTTTTTTACAAATATTGTCACTTAAAGCTTGAAGTGATAGTTCAGCACTGTGAGGAAAACGATTATCAACAAAAATAAAATAAAATTTATAGCCACTGTCGGAGTTGTACTATAGCAAACACAAAATTCTGTAATAAACCAAAATAGCAACCGCGCGCCACTTCAACACTTTTTGAATACGATTGTTTAATCAGGAAACGAAACAACTTATGTGCAGCGGCTGCTACATGTGTCAGCACCACCTGCTCGCTACTTGTCGGTGATCAGCGTCAAGTATTTGCACATCACAAGATAACACTTAAACAGCCTTTTAAGTATTGGTTTGGTACGATTTGTTCTACTGTGCAAATAAGTTTGTGAAGATGGTAATTTAATTGGCAAATTAGACTAAAATAGTGCTATTATATTATCACATATCCAACGTTTCTATCACTTAGAAAAGCTTGCGTAATTGCTCCCAAGTGAGAACCCACACATTGAAGATTATAAGGACGCAGCAAATCCTCAGAGGAAGTATAAAATATAAAATATTATTAAATACGTAATACGTGTCAAATATTGAAATAACAACACAGCTTTGACAACTTCGCAGAGTTGGTTTTCCACGTTTAGTTTCGCGCACCACTAACCACACGAAGTTCTGCTTTATAAGGAGTTAACGCAGTAGCAATAGTGCGAGTTTGAGGCAGAGAAACAAAGAAAGTGAAGGACGGAAACCATACACTACACACGTATGCAACTTTAATAATTTTACACATTTAGGCTTTAGAAAACGTTTCGACAAATGAAAGTAACACTAATTCCCAACACTTGATTTCCAAAATCCCACACTTTGGGCATATTAACATTTTTTTTTATTTGCGATAAGCGTAAAAAAACAAAATACAAATTTTAAACAGAAAATTTTGAGACTTATTGGAAATTCACTTCGCACAGAAACCTACACAGGAAAACATGGAAATTATAATACTGGCAGAACTACGGAATTGCAAGACTTTGAGGCAGCAGCAGCTGTCTGAGGAGGCAGACAATAGCGGAGAAGATGGTTGAAAAAACAGGGCGATGTCGCAGGCACCACTGCTGCTGCTACTGCTGCCACACAGTCGTTTTAATTTTTTGTATTTAATCTCCAATACATTTTACACTTTCTTTACATTTGTACAACACTTTTCCACTATTACACTAATAAAACGATTTTTCTGTATTTCTAATTTTTTACTTGTTGTTTATAAATTAATTGGAAATTGAACATTTTCCACTCAATACGCGACGCAGCATAGTTGTCGACCACGAAAACTGCGAAACGAATTATTAACAAATGAGACGATGGATATCGCTCTGCTGCTTTCTAGCCTTCGCTGCTGACGTTTTTGGTGCTGCGCTGTCAGTGTCTCGTATTTGACAGTAAATTGGGTTTCTAACTGCAAATTTATTTAGGATTGCATGGAAAAGCCTGTTTGCATCAATTAGCATAATCAATTTCAAAATGGAAATAATATATTTTTGAAGAAAATATAGTAAATTAATGAAATGAAATATATATAATTGGTTGAACATATTCAAAGTATTGCTAGATATTTTCTGAAATTTCACATATAGAAATTTTGGAAGCGACAAGCACTACATCTACCGGTCAAGTTTTGTTTTTAAAATTCTTAGTACAGGGTGCTATAAAGAAATTAATATTTCATTCTGTATAGCACAAACTCAAGTGATCGAAGATCTGACTTTTCTATGGATTTTTAAATAATATTATTAGTTCCCCAAATACACAAAAGACTTTTTTGCAATTTCGCTTAAAAATCCACCAGTTTTTATTATTTCCTGATACATATTCGCTTGAATAATTACTTTATTATTATTTGAACATTTATTTGTGTTTTCGTACTGTGATCGTTTAATATGTAATGTGTATAGTTTTCGTGATTTAAGTTTTTCTAATTACTAAATTAAAAACTTTAAAATTACAGAAGAAGTTATAATAAGAAATATATACTTAAACAATATAGTAAATATTGCACGTTTAAAATAAACATATATTTAAATTATTAACTTTTTTATAACTTCAAATTCCCTATTTATGGTATACAAAATTTAAAAAAATATAGAGGGACATTTTATTATATATAAAAAATTTTAACGTTTGATAGATACTTAGTTAATATATTGCAATTGCAATAAAATAATGACTATAACTTAAAAAAAATCTTAACATGAAAAATATACAGATTAGTGAAAATTTTCTTTACCACAAAGTAAGTGAGAATTAATTCACGGAGAAGTAAAACAAAAAGCAGAAGAATTTTCGACGCAATTACGATTTTAGCATCGAATACTTTTGCAATGATAAATTATATAGTTTGCTACGTCGTGTGCGAGTATTTAGAAATTGCTTATAAAAAAACAACTAGAAGTTTTACATGAAATAACAGCAAAATGAAAGGTTAAGTTTTTGTAACCGCTGTGCCGGTCCCTCGGAATCTTTGTGATTAAGTTTGAGTCTGAATTATTTCCTTTCTTTCTGCGGTACTGATACGATTTGTTGCGCCAAGGCTATTGTGACGGATCATAGATGGTTGTGGATGTTTGTGCATTATATTCGCTTTCATAACTTCCTTATACTCCGATCCGCAGCGGCAGAATTAAGTTTCGATCTGTATTAATAGTCAGAAAAATACAAATTAGTACATTATCTACACAAATGTTTATGTTTTATAACTTTAATAGCAGGAAACAGAATAGAATTGAATGCAGCAGAAGCTAAAAATGTTCACATATTTTATAGCTAAAAATTTACATCAAAAATTTTTGGATGTTGAGATAAAAATTTAATTTTAGTTTTTTAATCCAAAAGGTTTGGGATTAGAAATGTAAAATATTACTTTTTGCACGAACGCGAAGAAATGTTAATTCTAAAGCAAAATTTGTTTTTAATTCTTAATTATATGCCTGATATTAAAACTTTTCTTTTTTTCAATCCGGTAAGCGGGATTAAACATTTTTTGTTTTTATTTTTTAATCCCGTGTTTGGGATTACAAAATAAAAGAAAAAAATTGTATTCATATGTTAATTCAATTATTTTTTAATGCATTATTTGCAACCCTGTTCACATGAAAGTGTTAAATGGTTTGAAAGAACAAAACGCATTAAAATCCGTTTCCGGCAACAAATAAAATAACACATGGACATGAACTCACAGAAAATTTTTATACAGTAGACTAATAAATTTTTGTTTGAAATTTACATCACAATTTCAAATTGAATTTTAGTTTAGAAATTAATTTCAAATTCATCAAGCGTTTTAGTAGCAAGCGGAAAGGGCAGGTACAGTTAAGGCACAAACCATGCTTTAAAGCTGGATTATTATCAAATCTTCGGTTGGTTAGCGCTTGAAAAACTAGCAAGAAAACTTCAAGGCATCATCCAAAGATTGGTATTAGCTTCAGAGCAAAATCCAAGTATTTAAGCTTACAATTTTAGCGTTATTTGTCAAACAAATCAACATTTCGAGTAAAATATTTTCAAAAAAACGTGTCGAACTTTTCGAACCCAGCGAACACATGCAATTGGCTTACCTCTGAAACAAGGTGCCGAAATATTTAGTACCTTATTGACTTTTATGGACTTCTGAGTATTGAATACAGCTTGATTTTTGAAGATTATAGCTTCTAAGCAACTTTTTTACGATTTTGAGTTCAAAACTCATGAATACATGTATGTATGTGTATATTGCAACTTGTCTTGCACGAAAAGCACGTGTATAAAGCTGACAACAGTGAATGATTACAAAATTGTTTCCAAACTTGTTTCTGTTTATATATTGGTTACTTAAACGTGGAATTGCTGGCGTTATTAGCTCTATTTCATTAGAAGTCATCGTCCTGTGTTAATAGCGGGCAAGTGGGAAGTGCGGTTTGTCATTAGTTTGGGTTGTATAAACAGTTAAATGATAAGCGTATGGACAGCAGATGATATATGCCATAAATATGTATATTTTAACCATTTACTTGAAATTTCGAAAGTATGTTTTAGATGAGTGTGATTATTGACCTTATGTCAGTGATTTAGTTGACATAGCAGAATTAGTATGACGATATGATATACAATAAATAAGATAAAAGATATGATATATATAAAAATCAAACTAAAGGTTACAGAAAAAATTATAAGTCACGTACATACATACATATGTAAATAATTTTAGATATTTGTTAAGAACTTCAAAATGTTTGGATAAAAGTAACATATAATTTATTTTTCGTCTAACCGATATGAATAGTGACTTCTTATTAACATTATTAAAGTAACGGCATTTAAAAAGCGGTTGAAGCGTAAAAGTACAAAAATTGCGTACAGTTAATTTTCAATGCGAAAGCGGTGCGGGTTGAAAGTTTAGAAACAATTTCGTAAAAGCCGTAAAAAGCTCAAAATTTAACTTATCTAACTTTGATTATTGTCTTTGTTGTTTATGCACATAATTAAGCAAATGAAAGATATTTATAAATTATGAATTTTGAAAGAAAATATTTCCGGAGTGTTTCGCATAAATTAAAAACATTTCAATCAATATATATTTTAATGAAAAATTCAAAGTTTTTATGACAATAAAACTTATGAGCACTAGAAATTCAAATATAAAGTTGACTAGAGTATATCTTGTTCTGTGAGTACCGGAAATGAGGTCCTGTGTTTGTGTTTGACGTATTTTATTTGGAAATACAACAAAATTAAAAAGTTTTCCATACAGGGTGTGGAGAGAAGAGAGAAAATTAAGAAAATTAAAATTAGTAAAACTATGCCCCCACACAATCACCATAATCTGATTTTGAAGCTCAGAACTCTCGATCAATTCTGCTCTCCGATAATCAGATTATCAATGAGTTCAACAATTATAATTTATTACTCACAATTCCATTGAAAGCACTGTAGGATTCGGACACGCCTGTGGTGCGCGTATGTGGCATTGTTTGTGGCAGATCAAATTGCAGTCCCGACATTCGTACCCCTGCTTGCCCGGTCGCCGCGGGATGGACTTCATGCAGACTTGGCATTGCAGGCCGCCACTATGGAGGAAACAAGTAAATGTATAGAAAAATTATCAAAAAGGCAAACGAAAGTTTTGTCGCCCTTACCCGCTCAAATGTTTGGCGATAAAGGTGTGGTCATTATAAATGTGCAGTTTTGTGCCTTTGCGACGCCACCTGGGCCGTTGTGCGATTGCCAGCGGCACAATGAAATGCCTATGAGAAAATGTACCCATTAGCACTTTTAACATTCAATAGAAATATACAGGCGAAGATGGGCTCGACAATTGACTCACCGCTTCACACCATTCTCGATCGTCTCCAGCACCAGCGTGGATGCTTCATGTACGTACGTTTTGTTGCTGGCCGACGAGAAACCTGAGATTGCGGACGATTCTGAAATTGAAGATTGCCTTGAGTGATCAAGTCGTGATGAACCAGCGCGTAAGCCTGAGTATTTTCGTTGTTTTGTGTTGTTTGAATAGTTTCGTTTTTTTACGAAAATAAAAATAAGAAAAGCGTGCAGTTTTGAAGTACCGAAACGAAATTATAAGTTTAGTTTCAATTGTTACTCATCATTTACGATAAAACACATTTCACCAAATATATTTTCAAGGTGTTCCCATTTTTTCAGCAAAAATATTATTAAGTAACACAAGAAGTGGTAGTAATATATAGCGGTGGGTGAAGGAGTTCGATTATCCAAAAGTGAACAGTTTTTCCCATTTTGATATTTTTTTTTCGTTTTTTTTTTATTTGTATTAAAATAAAATCGCCCAAAATCATAAGATGGAAACATATGAAATTAAAAGAGAGTAAAATTAAATTAATGACATATATGGATTGATTATGCACAATTCAATGCAATAACAGTATTTTAAAATTAATAAAATCAAGCGTTAAATTTAAATATTGAAAATTTTGACGCGAATCCAAATTAAAGGAAGAGGGAGGAAATAATGAGTGTGATTTGACAGTTAAAATGTTGTTTTAGTACAAAATTGATATGCAGATGTACTCGTATATATGTTTGCGTTTGTATATCATAATGATATGCATATTTTAGTATTACACAGGTATACATAAATATAATATTAATTAAGTGAGCATACATACATACAATTCACATTTTCGGCGTTGAAGGAGCATAGTTTTCATGGTAAAGAGGTTCGATAAAAGGAGTGTGTTTGGAAAATAAAGACAAATACATAAACAGTAGAGTGTTAGGTTAGTGGTAAAGAGACAGAGATAGACAAAACAAGGTAGACTACATAGTGCAGTTATAAGTGGTTTTGATTACACAAATAACTATAAAAAATGGCAATAAAAAATTTACACAGAAATAAAATTTAAATAGCTTAATAATCAGTGCATTTTTAAAATTGAAATCCGCACTTTCAAAAACTTGTCTAAAAATTGAGTTAAGCAATTAAAAATAATAAATAATAAAATAAAACAAAAATAAAAAAGCATTTCAACGTTGTAAACAAATGTTTTCGACCAAAGATTTATAAAAAAAAGTTTGGCCAAACGTAAAGAAAGCTTTTATAGTAAAAATAGAATAATGTAAAGAATAGTAAATCCAATAACGGCGCTTAAACTAGAAACAATTTTTCCACACACAAACAGTTAAGAAGCATTATGAAAGAGAGCGAGTGAAAATTAGGTTCACACAAGTGTTAGATCAAGAACCAAGAGGTTGGAGAGGTGGGTGAATGGTAATTACCAAGTGAATTGCTTTTAGACAATACAGCACGATCGACAGATAATGAACGTGAATCACCGTTAAGTGTTCCTGTTGGGGTGGTACCGTTATTATTGTGGGACGGCGTCAAAGCGCCACGATCAGCCGAATGGGTTCGTGTTTTAGATCGACTTAAACGTTTTTTTAATGTTCCAAAGAAATTTCGTTTCTTACTCCGTCCTCTTTCGTCCAGATCAGCGCTGTTTAATGGTGTACTAGTCGCAGCACCATTGCGAGGCAAACTATTGCTTTGGTATCCATAACTCTGTGAACCGTTTGTAGCCGAGTTGCCATTGTAGGGTGAGTAGCCATTGTGGGCCTGTGGTGAGGAAGCGGCATTCGGTTGGCCAAACTGTGCAATGAAACGAAAAAAATTGCGTTAATTTACAACGACAAAAACAACAGGTATATCTATGAACTTTAAGCTTTGTGTATTTTAAAGTATGCCGTAGACGTTCGACTTAATCGTATTTTGATTCAAGTTATAATCATTGAGTTCTAAAGCTGATATACTTAAAATACACACAGCTGTTTATTTTTAATGCATTCAGTTTTATTTGTAATCATTCCAACAAGATTATTGAAGTATTTTTAGCAAAATTGCAACATTCGCAGCGAGCTTTCGAATAAGAGAACAATTTTTGCATACTCACCTCGGCGCTGGATGCAACCAAAGCGCTGCTGTTACCTGATGCCACACCCGATTCATCTAAAGAGACATCGTTTGGTGGACATGAGTCTGTGGGGCTGGCGGTTATGTCCGTCGCCACCGAAATTTCCTGTTGTATTTGCTCGATATCCGCTGTCGTATTGGCAGTGGGCAACGATTCGCTCGTATTGTCGTTTAATGGGGATTCTAAAAATTGTGTCACAGCACCGTCAAGTTCTTCTTGTGGTGATTCTTTAACTTCGATTCTGCCGTCCTTGTTAACTTCAACCTATTTCCGTTGCAGACGAAATTTCGGTTGGAAGTGGTTTCGCAGGTTAATTTTAGTTAGAAAGCGCATTGAATCATTAGAGTTACAAGCAATTGAAGAAAGCGAGCCAAAACGAAGAAAAAATACGTAAGTTTCTTATCTACTTATTTAAGGTTATGTACGCAACTATTTCAAAAACTAAATAAATAACTTATGCACAATATGAGTGCAACTCAAAAATAATTTTTTTTAGTTTTTTATGTAAAAAATTTGTATAAACAATGTTAAAAATAAATGAAACGGGTTTAATTAACAAAACATGAATAAGTATGCAGATGCTGAGAAACTTAAATACAAATTTACCTTAAATGCATTTGAATTGTTTTGGTTCTATTTGTTTTGACGTTGCGTGATGGTGCAATATGAACGAATCAGGAAATAATTTTATTTTTCAAAAGCGTTTCGTAATGTGACGGTGAGAGAGCGGGAGTGAGCAACATGAAAAACAAAAACCAAAATTTAGCATCGAAATCATATGAAATTAAATAAAAAATCAAATAATCTGCTTGGGCGGAGAGTTGAGACTCCAATTTTTTTATGCGTCTATTACGATTTAATTAATATGAATCTCCGCCTCAAATATGTATAATTCACACCCTTTCCCCATAGACAGCTAAAAGCTTACATGAGATTTCGAAAAATCATGTAAAAGTCTGAAACTCACCCTTTGTACGCTATGTATGATTAGTGTACTCTTGCTGGGCTGTCCGGTTGTGGAGAGTGCGCCATCCTGCAAGGCACGCACAGCCGCATCAGCCAAACCGGCGCCGTTCTTCATGTGCTCATTAATGATCGGCGTGCTGATCTTCAAAGCCTCTTTCAATTTGTACGGTTTGGGTCCAGCGGGTATTTCTGCACCTTCAATGAACACAAAGTCCACAGTGATGGTGCCACTCACCGGGTTCGTCTCATACGGACGCGGCTGCAGTGTCAGCACTTGTGTGGATGCAGGGCCGACGGCCAGCTCATCAATGCCCACCAAACCCAAACCGAGGAATTTGGCCGATTCGACGCCATTAGCAGGCCGATCATATACTTCGAATAAAATCTCAGCTGATTGTGGAGATAATTCACTAAAGAAAACAAAGGAAAATCAATCGAGCATCACAAATGAAGAGGTAGCCACTTACAATAGGAAATGTTCATCCCAATAGGGCGTGGCACCCTGCCGAGCGCCGGTTTGATTCTTTTGTGCAGGTTCGTCCATTTCCACCACAACGTAGGGATCCTTGGCTGACGCCAGCCCTTCACCTTTCACAATTTTTACGAGCAAACGACGACCAGATATCATAGGCTGCAGACCTGACAAATTAGAACCCTCCAAGTTTTGCTATAAAGGGTGTTAAGTTTGTTTTTGGTGAAGTATGAAAGAGAAATGAAACGAGAAAAATTGCTGAGTAAAATGAGAGGGAAATTGTGGGCAATGTAAAGCATGTTTTTCATTTTACAAAGGCAATGAAATTTGCCTTTTATTTGATAACCAGTATTTTTACATAAGTATGTGTATATTTTTCTGTACAATATGCGAGTTTCTTTACAAATTTATGTTTTGTCTTTGACAATTTAGTTGCGAAATTTTCTTCAATAATTATAATAATATTGATAAGCCCTCTGAAATGAGAGAAAGTAAAAACAAAAATGAACTTAACTTTCGAAAATTAATTTCAAAAAGTGTTTTTGACTTTTAACTGTTAATTGTTATATAATGTTTGTTACGTTTAAGTAAACAAAAGGCAAATTTCATCGACAACAATGTTGAGGCTAAAACAATTTTTTATTTTTAAACATGCAATGCTCGGAAGTGGGTAGAACAATGAGAAGAATAACAGTGTTTATTTTGTGATACAGCATTATTACAGACTCTGGAGCGATCTTTTCGAATATATGTATATAATATATGTAATTTTGTATGTATGTATGTAGACTGATGTACTTCTGTAATTACATACCAGCTTTGTATGCAAAATCTGTACGAGTTGTCACTGCCAATCGTTTAATGATTCGGAAAATGTCTTATAAAAACATAAACAATTAAAGAGTGAAATTAACAAAAACAAGGTAAAACAAGGAAACCCCGAATTTAGATTTGATATTTATGAATATTTTTCTTCTCAGTGTACTGACGCTCACCGCTAACGCATCATAATTGACGGGATATATTACAGGCATGTCAAGCGGGTCGACTTCGGCACGAGGGCAGGTTGCGTAGACCGAAAAGTCGACTGGATAGACGGTGTCCCGCAGAGTGGCGGTGATTATGTCACTAATGACACCTTGCAGCTGCTGTTCATCTTGATCCATTGGCTTTATGGCGCCCACACTATTCATGGCAATGCGGATCTACACACAAAAGTATTGTCACAAATTATTTTATTTAAAAATTTACTTAAAATTTAAAAGGCTAGAATCAACACTCACATCGGGATAGCCATCCACCTTCATCTCGCCCTTGAGTGTGTTGTAGTTCATGGCGGTAGCCATACGTGCACGGAAGCGGGAGATGGTCACTTTGTAATGTGAGGTGTCAACCTTGCCGGCCTTCTGGCGGAACGTCTTCACCTGCAGCACCGGCTGTGCGTCACAATCAAAGGTGATCAGCTGTGGACAGTTAAGAGGGAATAAAGAAACAGACGTGATAGTGATATTCTTCGAATGTCGATATGCAGTGGAACCTACCATATTCGATGGATTTGTTTCATCACAATTGCAAAATATATTGTTCAAGCTGGGTGGTGGACTGTCAGGCAGCACACGCACCACCTCCACTGCGACGCCATGCTGAAAGTAGTAAACAAAATAACATAGTCACGAATACGTTTTGCTTAAGGAAGTCGTCTTTAAAAACTTTTCAAATGCTCCTGATTTTAATATTACATGTATAAATAATAAATACAGTAAGCAATGACAACTGTAAAACATATATCAACATTTATAATAATATTGTGTGAACTCGTCTTTATGATTGTTACTTCGCGTGATTTTTTTTTAATAATCATACATATGTACATATGTAAACAGGCCTGTTTGTATGTATTATATATTATATGTTTCATGTCGTTCTGGCCTTTGCCTCTTCGATTTGTTTTTTATAGCATTTATCGCCCGCCTTAATTTTTCAGTGTTGTTGTCATTAGTATACATTTCTTCTTCTTCATTATTATGTGCTGAAACCGGGGTCAAGGTTAACATAAAACTCATTTCGTGTCTTACATATGTGTACACATATTTACACACCTATCAACAATATAGATATATATATATATATGTATATATAAATGGATATGTAAATTGTCTACCGCGTTTTTGGTGTTTCACGTTTTGTATATTTATGTGTATTTCAATTTTATTGCCGAGACTTCTCTTTGATTTTTGCTCTCGGCGAATGTATCTTGCAAGCCGGTCTTATTTGAATTATTTTTGTCTTAAATAATACTCTACTGAGACTAAATTTGGCGAGCGTGTCTATGAATGTTTATATTGTATATAAAAATTATATTAAAATATGTCTGACGTAATGCATGATTCAGTTTGAGTTTCTGTTATATGACGACGGCACGTACTTGTGCAACAACAAAACAAATGAGCTAAGTGATCTCATCTCATAGTTTGGCTGAAATACACATTGAAAACATTAGAAAAGCTATGAAAGCATAACTGGAATTATCTGACGTTCCATTTCGATTGTTAACAATTAATGAACTTTTCATGCAATTTGGCTTAATGTGCGGGAGATATTTGTAGTCGACAGAATATTGCACATTTTTCCGAAAATCAATCAAAACATATCATATGGTAGACATATACCATACATACATATACATGTACGTGTGTACGATAAATAGATACACATACATATGTAGCTCCAAATCTAAAATAACATACATACATACATTTGAAATAAAATTTTTTGCTGTTCTTTAGTCAATAATGATTTGTCTGTTATTATTAAATAGCTTGGAGTATTAGTTTACAGGTAAAGAGGTGAGGAAATCATAGTATTATTAACCCAAGAAGTTCTCGTGTCAACTTTCCTAAATGTAATTCAATTATGAAATAATATTTAGTGCCGCATTTGGCACGTTATTGAACACATCATCGATAAGCTGGCCGTCCATGAGGTCATGCTGAACTTTACTTTCATAGCGGCTTTATCGCGTATATAACATTAAGCTCTTCGCAATTTACATAACGTTTACATATGTACATGACGATGTTAAAATGTATTCCTATTTATTGCATTGGTTGTAAATGTAGACTTTCCGGTTTCTTTGAATATTAAAGTTTTGTGAATAAATCACTTGGCAACTCACCTCTTCCATCGATTTTTTCAGAGTTTCATTTAAGGCTATAACCCAAGATGTTAGCAATTCGTTGACAATCACAAGATCGCTGTAAAGCCAACGGAACACTTGACTGGTCCAAGTAACGGAAGTCTAAAGAGGAATGTAGATAACGCTTTATATTGCCAACGCATTTCTGCTTCACAACTTACTGTTTCAGGTCCAACAACATTGGACGGTGGCGGCACATAACGTTTCTTGCGGCTTTCTGGTCCAGTTGAGCCCTGTCGCACCATGCGGCGTCGTGCGCCAGCACCACCAGCTGCAGCCCCAGCACCTCCACTGGGCGCGCGACCGCGTGCAGCACCACCTGGTTTGGCAGCTAAGTCCTAATTACAACAAAAACATATACATATTCATATTGTTAACAGTTTTAAGATGGCACCCTACAGTCCTCCTTTAGGAGATTTCGTCATGCCCACCTTAAAATCCGCTTTGCTTGCCATCACTTCTCTCGGCTCGGATAGGCGTTTGATCACTTCAGTTTTCGATGTGCTGCCAGCGCCGGGCGCCACACTGCTCTGCCGACTATTGCTCTGACTTGTCGGCGTTTTGTTGTTATTTACCACATATTTATTGTATAAAAATTTACACAGCCATACTAAGAAGAGGGCCAATACAGCCCAAATAAATATGAACATTGCTAATGAGTCCATTGTTAAATCACCAATTCCTTCAAATGAACAAATATAATCATCGATTTGATCTGCTAAATCCATAATTCAATGCGATGGCAGATGCATAAATCAAGTTTTACGCATCATATCTGTAAATAGAGAGGCAACATAGTTTTAAAAATCAAACTGTAAAAATATTGAGAAAAGTTATATTCGCTAAACTTTTTGATTGCGTTTGGGTTACGTATTGCTCCTACAGAAGATAGTTAGGGCACTGGTAACGTCAATATTGAGCAACAAAGCAATAAGTTACATTCGTTAACTACAAGCATAATTATCAACAGGACGAATCCAGCAAACCCTTTCAAACCCACCCTAACTTTGATATATCTAAAACAACATTGCGGTCCCTTGTTTAGCTAATGCAAATTGATAAGAAAGAAATTATTTCGGGTCCTGAATAACCAAAACAAGATACAAAAGGGAATATATAACTATATAAAATGCATTGCTAACTGTTAACTGAAATTCAAAAATTATCTCCAAGCATATAGTATATTACAGTACAGTACAGTAGTACAGATATGGAGTTGAAATATTATAAAAATATAATATAATAAAATATATAGAAAACCACGTCCATATTGATTTAAATGAGAAATATTATTTACAATTAGCTTATTATTTCTTGGAGAGACCTACAAGTTTTGAATCGAATCCGCACGGCTAACGGGTTTTATGTAAAACTTTTTTAAAGTAGAAAAATGTTCGGAGGCTTGTCATTGCGGGTCAACAAGAAGCAAATAAAAAATATACGTATATTCGAAAACAAAAAAAACTTACATAAAATTTGTATTTTCAATCAAAATATAGTATTTACCGTTTCGAATTAAGTGAGCTCCTTGGCTCCAGTCAAAGAAGAATAAGCAAATTTGAATAAATTAAAAATGTCGAAAATCACAGCGAAGAAACAAAATCACACTTTAAACAATTTCTCAAAATTCGTGCATTTCATAAATGATTTTTTCAATCGTTCTTCCGCTTTTTGTTTGTTAATTTGTTTATCAGTCAAAAAGTGTTTATATTTGGCCTTGTGGCAGTTGAAGTTTTCACTTGAGCAATGGGTGGTGTTTGTCAAAACTCATTTGGGATCCTCCAACACACGCTCACACACAAGCACACTTTCACTTGCGAAAAAAGCCAAACTCTCGTTTACCGAATACTGTGGACGAAAAGTGTTCGGCCGAATGACCGAAGTGTACGGGATTCGCAGCGAGTAAAGTTATTCTGAAAATTAATATGGAAGCCAAAAAGATTTCAACTGGCTATTTATAGCACACTAGCTGATGAATTTTTCACAATTGAAATATTTTATAAATCTGTGTTATTTTGCTATTTTGGAAATCAGAAAAACTGGAGCACACACTTTGAGCAATATTGATATACATATGTATGTCTACATATCTAAACACTTAGTACACACAAGTAATTATGGCACAAATGCTTCGTGGGAAATTCGCAACTTTGTTCGATAAAGAAATCGCATCCATATTTGCCATCGTTTTTCAAATCACATTTAGCTTTTTTAACAAATTTTCATTACACCAAATAAAACTAAAATTCACAAAACGAAACCGAACCGAATGAGGAGTGTTGAACGAAACCAAATTGAAAACCTTTCGAAAGCAAAGCGAAACCAAACTGAACGCCAAATTTGAAGGAGATCGGCTGAAATCCGCCACAGTCGGTGGCAGTCGAGAGTTAGCGAGCACAAAGTAGAAGGAGAGCAGCCGGCAGAGATTGCGCATGGATCTAGAAGTCACTACCCAGTAGAATAACAGTTTGCGGCCGCTTTGGCGAATCGAGGCGTGGCATTGCGTCGGCGCAAAGAGATAAACTCCGCTCTGGCCTTTGCGTTGGAAAATCGGCAAAGCTTTCTGAATTCGTAAATCTCCCCCACACTATGACCAATAAAAAATAAGTTTGGGAAGGTGTCGCTGAATTCACGAATCTGCTCGGCCACTATACCTAATCAATAACGTCAGACGCTCACCATCTGTTCATGCTACACCGAACTTTCTTTCACACCTTCATGCAGCTACTCGTATGCGTGTATGTAGGTATGTCTGTATGATGCCGATCTTGTTGTTCAGCAGAATGTTTATGTGTGGTATCTGTCGGAAGCGGGTGCCACTATTGCCACTTTTACACCTTCTAAGTTTTGACGTCATTCTTTTTAAAAACGAAAATAAATTTACATTGTGTGTGTGCGTGTGACTTTTTCTGTTACCGCATGGTTGCCGACATCATCGTTGGCTGCTCACTATATTCGAAATGACGTAATTGGGTGCACAACCAGATCTTATACATATGCATGTATGTATATACTCATAGTATATACGAAGGCTGAGCTGACTTAGGACGCACGCCACGGGCGAATATTCTCGCTTCTATAATTACGCTTTCATGGCAGCTGCGTGTTACTTAGACTTTCTTATTTCATACTCAATGTATTGCTATGCGAATAATGTAATCACCGAAGTTTTTATATATAAACATTTCCATTTCGACTACTTGAACTATTTATTCCAGCACTCCGTCGTGGCGACAGTGGACATCTAGGCAATTCGTATCCCATTACAGCAACAACTACAACAATCATGAAGTTAATTTAGTTTTTCCCACAGAGCCATTAATTTCAAGAGCATTAAAATAGCTCAAGCAGCGTTAATGACAAAGCCAAAAACTATTTTAAGAATCAAATCTCTGGATGCAGTTGAAATGCCTTTCGATTAATGTGAAATCAAGAAACTAAAGTACGCTGAGCAATAAATAACCTTTTCTTGACTTCGGCGGATGAGGCAGTAAACTGTTTTTGCTCAAATTTCTAAATAAACGGCTCTAGTATTGGTATACATGTAAACATATAAATATATACAAGTACAAATGTACATATGGTATTAAAGTGCGTATTTGAATTCAAAACTCAACCGACAATTCAACCTTTTGTCAATCTGTCTTTTCTACATACAGTTTGCTTATTTTCGAAAGGTGTTTTCAAATATTATATTGTATATATTTAAAATCTATATAGCATGTTTTTCGTCAGTTTGTTGCCTTGATATTTCAATAGTAAATTTCCAATTCGCTGGATTTTAGTATTGAATATGAAAAGCAGATGATTTGACCGCTGTCAGCTGCATGTTGCACAGTTTTTATTGCAAATAGTATACGCATACACCTCCACATACATATGTATATACATATTTACATATGCAAATATAAACATATCGAAGCATGTATGCGCTTTGTGCATGCACCCAATTCAGCGCGCTGCCAAAACGGAATCTGCGAAATCTCTTTCAGCTAAATGTCTATTCTTGTGAGTGAATTATTTTTTTCTAAACACAAGATGCTTAGCTGATGTAAAACAAACAATTTACATGATATATTGAATGAATGAACAATGGCCGTAATGAATTTGGCACTTGTTGCAGACAGCATGCAACAACAATAGAAACAAATAAATAAATACATAACACATAAACACAAACTCGGGCAATTCCGTTCGAATACAACAAATATATATTATATATAGACATTGTATATTTTTTTAGTGAATTATAAATCGAAACTGAAACGTCTTCAGCGAGTTTTCTCATTTCATTTCCATAGCAATAACAATAATATGAAATAATATAACATAACCATATTTTACACTAGCGGCAACAGCTAGTATCAAAGTAGGACTTGAAATCTTTTTCTTACCCTTCCGATTCTGAAGACCCTGAATCCCTTTTTTCGGTATTATTGTCATACAATAAACATACGATTTGTAAGGATGGGTTGACAGCTGTCTTTGATTCGGCTCTCCACCCCTGCGGAACGGTTGAAAGCAACGAAAATATATTTAGTTAATCTCAATACCAGAGAGTATATTTCTATATCATTAAAGAAGTTCAACCGCCTGCTTTCCTCTTTTCTATTTTATTATGACATTATATTACATTTATACCAGTTGTACATTCGATACGCGACACTCCAAAATCTGGCATAACGCAGGCAACTAATGCAATAATGAAAACAAATCGTCATTATCCGCTCCACGTGACCGATACAGATACAGATTTAGATAGATTTGCTCATACTTTTGCAGATAAATTTAACGGTGGCTGTCGCCGTTGCGCTCTGATGTCATCACGATGACGTATGCTAACTTATTTACAAATTTTAATTTAACGCCACCCACGAATATCCGAAACACAGCGGGAAACTAATTTCGAAAACCAAATATTTTGTGTTACTAATACAACAATGAGGGACTAAATAAAGACAATGAAAATCAAATCAACACGAAATTAGGAGTTCAACTAATTTTTAACCTCAACATTTTCCCTCGCCTTTTCTAACACAAAATAGATGTTAAAAACGCTTCCATTGTTTCATTCAAAACCGAAAGGTTTGTTTGTTTCGCTGAGATCAGAGGAATTTTACACTCTTTGAAGACTAATGACCTTTACTATGCGAAGCAAGCGTTAAAAGCGAGTTATGCTGACGAGAAATGGGAACAAGAGTTCATAGAACAACACTACCAAGACACAATTTAAGCATGGAAAATCAACTTTATATAAAAATAAGAAACAATGGCGAATATGAAGTAAAGAGAAGATTTTAACAAAACAATGGCCAACATTGAGCATTGTGAAAATGCTCGACTCACGTCCAGCCGCGTGCCCCTCGCCGGCAAATGTTCTAGTTACTGTAAAAATTAAAGAGTTATTATAATAAGTACGTACACACAGGCAAATGTGTGAGTAAACTTAAAAATATGCAAATATTTAAACATGGCTGTGTGTGTTATGTTGTGGCTCTGTGTATGTTGGTTGATTCCGAAATCCGGCTTATGATTCCAAAATCAACTGTAAGCAAAGACAACAGCTTAACGAACTGATTTATTGTTAAAGACACAGAAGATTGTTCTATAGGAACCATTAAAACACGAAAACCTTCCTTTCTACTCATATCAGATATACGAATATTAATCTAAAGGTGATGACTACTATAAGCCAGCGGATTGTATGTCAGACTGTCA